TTTTTTTTTTTTTGCCTTGAGAGTGTGTGACTTGCCCAAGGTCACCTAGTGGGTTTCCATGACGAAGCAGAGATTTGAATCCCTGTCACCAGAGGTGTAGTCCAATGCTCAAACTACTATACCACACTGGCTCATGCAGCAGGGATCACTAAATTTCTTCTTGAAGGAAGCAATGAGTAATTTTAGCAGTTTGTTTCTCACTGTGAAAACACCTTTGAAAACTGCAATATTCATATTCATAGTTCAGGATTTCGGCACAAAATTTGCATGTGGTTGTTTCATGAAGAAAACAGCGGTTTCTTCAGAGAAAAGTCTGTTGTCTGTGCAAAACAACCTCATGTAAATTTTGTATAGAACATGAACATTCTTAGCAGCCCGGTATTCTTCTCATCAGGATTTGACAACACCTGAGAAACACGGTTTTATCCATTTGTTATTTACAAGTGTAGGCAGAGAAATCTGTACATAGCTCCTTCCACTTACACCATGTGAAACAACACTGATGTGTTCAACTAAAAAAACACAAAAGCCAAGTACAAACGTAGAGTTGGCTTCATTTATGAGTAATATCAGACTGGGATCTCCCAGCTTTTCACCACCATCACTATGTCCTTCCATTTGGTGAAGCGTTTTTCAAAGGCTCCTTCTACACTGTAAAATGAAGTTTAACACTGTTTTAACCTCCATAGCTCTAACCTATAGAATCCTCTGATTTGCAATTTATCATGGCAACAGAGTACTCTGACAGAGAAAGCTTAATATCTCATAAAACTATAAATCCCAGAATTTCAGAGCAATGAGCCATAATAGTGAAAGCAGTGTCAAACTGCATTAATTCTGCAGTGTACATGCAGTCTGTGACTGCCATTAACTGTGTGGACATAATAGATAAATAGTAGAAGAAATCACTTCAATAAAGACTCTAATAATAATAATAATAATAATAATAAATTACCCAACATATTTTGTTGATTGTGACAGAGCAGCAAATGGCATCCATCCTACCTGAATCAAAGTGAATAATACCCTCAGAGTTGGGAATATTTAGCACATGAGGTAGGAAGTCACACAAACAGATCTTCCTAATCTCTGCC